GTGTCCCCCCCCCCCCCCCCCCCATTTAGGCCCAAATATTTTCCTCAAAGAACTGTTCTGAAAGGCCCTCAATCAATTTTCTTCAAAGTGAGAGACCAAGTTCCACATCCATACAGCACAACTTGGAAAATTACAAATCAATAATGAAGGGTCCAGTGTCAGAGGAACTCTCCATCTGACCCAACTGAGTACGCGCCCTTCCCCACTTTATAAACTGTGGAAGGAAGTAGATCGAGCTTCAGAAAGGCAGTGTTCTTTTTAAAAACACAGATGATTGACAGTCCAAGAATTTAGTCTTCTCGATGCCAAAATTACACTTCCGAGTACTTTAGTCTTTGTAATGATATTAGGAGTTAGGACGAAACATTTAGGACTGAATAATAGGAAGCATTCCCTGAAATTCTTCTTCTATGGATTTCATCATGAATTGCCATACTGACTTGTTAGTGTAATATATATTATTAGTATGGTTTATAATTTGCGAATTATTCACCAGTTATTCGATTTTTACCATTACTAATTACAAGCCGCAAACATTAGTCCGTACTACGAAGTGGCCGTTACTTTAATGATCACCAAAATACGATTGCAACAAATAAATGTGCATGCATGTAACTTGTTCATGTAGCGATAAAAATTACATACTACTGGGATGTATTTTGCATCTAGATAGGTTACCGATAGACATTGCATAGTGGAGAAATATGTTTTTAAAAAAAGTTCAACAGGGAAATGTGTTTTTAAAAGCAATTTAATATTTGGGCCAAAGCTTTTTGTACAGATAGTGGGTTGATAAATATCGGTTTGTAAGCCGCGTTAATTTTGACTGCACCAAATCTCAAAGTGAGGTTATACTCATTAATTCAGTGAGTTCAACATAACGTCGCTTATGAAGATGTGCCAGAAGACTAAAAAAAACCAAGTTAGCTTCTTGGAGAGTTGTCCTTGCTTGCGAGGTACAATTTTTCAAAGAGTGTGACAAAATTCCTTACATCTGTGGAAGGGTATGTTACACATAATTTTATAAATTTTTGGTTTTTCTTGTTCGTCACTTTTCACACATTCAATTCACCGACCATTCAGTAGAACAATATATTTCAGTCCAGTGTGATCATCATTATTTGCGATTCCCCGTCTTTGTGTAACTTCACTGCGAACCGTAATTTCTCTTCCCAATATGAAGAAATAATTTAATGTATTTTGTACGTAAGAAATTGAATTCGTTCACTTTCTCCTGTAAGCAGATCATATTCTAGAGACATTTCCGTATTGTAAATTGTTATTATATTTTTCAAACATAATTTTTGTTATGTTTTAAGTAATGCAATAGCATTTTTTCATCGCTTTTGGTACTAGTGAAATACTTTACCTTCTTTTACTTCAATTTTGTTATACATATTTTCCTCCTAATTTTACAGGCATTCATTCACTTGCATATGTAAGCTTATTGCATGACAGAAGTGACATCTGTAGTCGTCACATGATAACATGTGTAATGAATTGTTTTTTTCTAGTTGGCCATCCTGGTTCACAACCTCATCGAGCGTATGACTTATTGCCACGCATGCGTCTCATACTATCCGAGGCGGCCTCTGAGGACATTGTATTGATTCGAGGAACAACATTGAATTTCTTCAGAAAGTAGAGGAACGTAGTGACTTGGAAAACCATGGAGAAGAAATACTTGAATTTGGGTTATGTATGTATTTGTTGCATTATTGACTGGGGATCATCATTGTCTCAGATATGCATATTCTATTTATTGATGTGTCCATTTATGTGAAACTGAGCTTCAGAGAACAACATGCGTTGATTAACTGTTTGCTCTTCTTCTAAATATTAATGAAATTAATCACAAAAGTTGACTTAGCTATATTTATCATCATCCGTCACTGCTTGTTGGATCTGAATTTTATAAGCAAACATTTTTGAGTCATTTCTTATTATGGTTAAAATGGATGATTGTTTTAAACCAAGCTCTTGTGGCAGCCATTTTACAGATTTCCATTGACTATGCATAAGTGCTGTCTGTATACATGCAGTGTTTTCTGTTATCCTCATAAACATCTTTCTGCCAACCCAGAACTTGTATGTTCAAACATTTTCACACATTTAAATTGTCGATCTTTTTGGACCTTCTCTGCAGTCTCACTCTAAACTCGCGCTACATCATACAACACTTCTAGTTTAATAAATCAAACTGTTTCATACAAAACACACTGGTCACTAGTGTACGCAGCTTCCTTATTACTGCTTGCTTAATGTTCCACCTAGAAAGCACTAATAATTGATCAGAATACTCTAACCTCTTACATGTTCTATGACACCAAAGTTATTGTCAGTGCAGATGTCGGGATTTGTAACAATAATGTCTTTTCCTGAAGACTCTGTATTTTTTGTGTGGGTGTGAAACCTGGTTTCTCACCCAAAGGGAAGAACATAAGTAATTTTGGACTGGTTATTGGGAATGCGTATGTGTATTACATTTAATGTCAGTTTCATAAAATTCAAATTTTCGTATTTATTCTTTGTAGTGTTTACACAATATTGTTTGGTTCTTGAGGATACCTGAGTAAAATTCGTTATGTGTGCCCTTCACTTCAAATATATCCTTCAATATACACTATGTTTGAAATCTGTATCAAATTTTGGACATACCACACACTGTGCGAATTTAAATTACGTATATTTTTTTTATGTTTAGCTGTAATGACATGCATTCATGAAGATTGTCATATTACTACAATATTGCTCATATGCATTATTCAGAGTACAACTCTTTTCTTTCCCTCGATTTTTGAGATATCTAACAGAATTTTATAATTTATTTTTAATTTTACAGTAGAACATGGGTATAATCAAAATGGAAAATGATGTTGATGTTCAAAGTTAAAAAGATTCCATTTGCATGGTATCAGATGAGGTTCATGTACAATCAGCAACTTCAATAAAAAAAAGATGAAACTAAGGTAAGCCTTCCTTTCAGATGAGGTTTTTCTTTCTGTGCATTTATACAATTGCCTGAGTGTTTGTTTTTAGTGTATGAGTTGTTATTATCTGTGAAACAAGTATAAAGAACGAACATTACTCTACCTTTTACCCTAACTCTGATTTGCTCCTGTAGTGCTCGAGGCCTGTAAGAATAATAGCAAATTGCAGCCTGAATTGGGTAGTGTACATATATATAATCATTATCTTAATTTGTAATACAAAGTAACATAGACACCTTTTGCAGGCTTGTAGAAGAACTGTGCTCCAGTAATTGTAAATAAATGCTAAACAGTCGGTGATGTTACAAATTAAATATAATTATTCCGAAGAGGTATGTATGTGAATATTTTGTGTGTTTGCCTTGTGATAATTGTCCATAAATGCAGATGTTTCCATGAAAAGCTAGTGCGTACCAGAAGTGTTAGCTGTTATGCATAACTGTTGCAGCATGCTACAGTGTTCTGCAAAAATTGAGTTCACACTGTAAAGTAAGTTTCAACGTGGCCACTTGTAGTTTTTGGAATATTTTAAGATCTAGATAATCTTTTAGAACAATATAATTTTTAGGATTGAACACTGAGCTAATTTTCTGCTGCTTCGGTTCAATTCAAAGCAGCCTACACCTTGGAGAAACAGCAAACGAATCGTCACCAAGTATAAGAAGCCTGTTACTCATATAGAGCTTTCGCTCAAGGAAAACGTGCAACTGCAACATACAGAAAACGCATGGAGGCCTAGACGAGTGAAGCCCTCTGCTACCAATGAAGAGGAGGCAAAGACTCAGGTATGTACCTGGCATTCTTTGACCACAGGATCGCAGAAGCAGTGAATACTGCTGTGTCTACCCCAATGTAAGATGGCTGAATGTAACAGTCCTGCACTAAGAAACTCGTCTACATGGAAAAAACAATTTTCTGATGTATCTGTGGGGTGACCAACCATTTAGGGGTGATGGGGGTAATTTGGTGACATGTCTGTAGAGAATTGGATTGTTCACACTCTTCTGCAGTGACCAGAGGTTTTGGGTTTCACTCATACTGTGTCACAGATTGCTGAGTGGCTCTTAAATTTAATGTGAAATGCTTCTTTCACTCTTCAAACATCTCTGAGTCATTCTTGTGACCAATTTTGTTAACTGAATTGTCAGTTTTCCTCCATTATTGTATTGGTTCTACTCTTTAGATTTGTTCATCTTTGCTCTATTCAAGTTGCGTTTGTTATGCCCTGCAACCAGTTTATTTTCAACGGTGAATTGAATATCCTTTCTCCCACTACTGACTAGTCATGTGAAAAGGACAAACTGATCTGTTTTAACATTTTTTGCTTCATGTGGCATGTGTTGTAAAGGAAGATGTTGCATACTATGCAGCAACTTTTTATTTGTATGTTAATGTAATGGAAATCTTGGGTTTGTACCTCGAATCGACTTAAAAGGCAGAGCACTGAACAAACGTCACATATTAAAACATGTTTTGCTTTAATTTTATGTTTGCTTTCTGTAAAGTGATGAGAGAGAACTTGATGTTGCAGGACCTGTATAAGAAGGTTCGCAGTGTACTCAACAAGCTCACACCTGAGAAATTTGACAGATTTGTTGCTCAGGTCCAGTCTCTGCCAATTGACAGCAGTGATCGCCTGGAGGGCGTCATCAAGCTCATATTTGAAAAGGTGAGGCAGCAGTCTTTAGCAGCTGATTCATTGAAACAGAATTGTCATATTGATAAAATTTTTCTTTGTTTGAGACTTTGCAGCTGAATTTCTGAAGTACTGAAAGTATCCTCAGCATAATAATAATGGAGGCTCTAGGGGCAGGTGAAAATTATAATTGTTACTGATCACGGTAATAATCTTAACCACCAGAAACCGGGCTGTCCTTTCTTTAAATACACCTTCAAGCATAGGATTTCTCTTCACTCATCTATAAATGAATGTCTCATACGTGAAAAGGGAACACTGTCATGAAATGTTTTGCATCTGACTGAGATTTGGAGTTTCTTGGGTTCAAGGGATAAATATTTGCTTCTGTCGATGCTTCATTTCGATGGCTATGATTTAATAATTTTAATTGATGCGACATCTCTAGGTATATCTTCAGTACAGTTACTGTTATACGAGGGGCAGTCAGAAAGTACCCGGAATTGTCATATAGCACTGTAATGGTAGGACATATGGCAATGCTTACCTAATCACCTTCAAAGTAGGACCCTTGCGCACACACACAAACTTGCTCCATCAATCGTGCCATGTTGGAAGCACCGGTGGAAGACTTCGTTTGGAATCTTCCGTAGTTCGGCCGTCGCATTCGATTTGATGTCCTCCATGGTTGTGAAACGTGTTGGGTGATGACGGGAATGCTTTTCTCGGTGAGGAATTGCTGCACAACCAGCGATGTGTGGCTCAGTGTGTGATCGTGATGCAAAAACCACTCACCCTGCCCCTTGTTGCTCTGATTCCTCCGAACTGCTTCGCGCAACCTCTGCAACACTTGCACATAGAAATGATCCGTAACAGTCTGTCCAGGCAATACGAATACAGCCAAGTTTTTTATCATTCCACAAAGCATCTACCCTGTAGAACACTCCAAATGTCACAACCTCCATTTGCATGTACCCTACACTTGTACCGCATCCATAACAGATATTTGCACCTTTGCTTTCGACACATACTACTCGGACTCCGCAATCAGTCACCCAGACACCGAGTGACTGCCTTCGGCAATACTTCGTCCTATAAACTACACTCTGACAGCTATAGAAGATATCCACCTCCCTTCTCCAAAACATATGATACAATCTAAAGTGGATTCAACTTCCCACAATCATTTACACACTTTAAAAAGACTTACCACTTCATTATATCAATAAGTGCCAATTTTAAACGTACCTGATTTGTGCCATCGTTCACTACTGCACTAAGATCAAGTAAGTTGTCTGGTCTCTTCATTGACAGAGGGTGATACCTAAGCTCCAACAGGAAATTTCGGTCATTTATCCTCCTGCCTTCTGGATTCTGCGGACTCCCCTGGTCTGGAAGCAAACGCTGACATGAGCTTGCATGTCATGTTCAAGAAATTCCCAATCATTTGCGTAACAACAAAATCAGCAATGAGGATGGAATTCGATCTTTGTGTCATCATGAAATATTTGAAAATCTTTTCTTCATGTGAGGTATTCTTCTACAAATTGCATTATATATTAAATCAGTTCCTTCCACAACATTTGCCAATATAAATTTGCAACAGAACTTCTGTTAACCTGCAATTTAATGGGTCTTTCAAAACCAATCAAATGGAAAGTCTGAAATCTTCCAAGATCTGAATTCTTGTGGAAAGTAGGTTGTTTACAAAGAACTGTTGCTGTTGAGTGATATCAATTTTCATTGCATATACTGCAGCAAACAAAACAAGGCCCTGTGTTTCTTCCATTCAACTAACATTCGAATCAGACTTGTAGCAAAAACAAACAGCAAAATTATGATGATATGATATGATAAGAAAGAACCAGATACATTTTTTAGCACTGTCTGCATTCTGTAAAAACTTACTGACAATTCTACATTCTTTGCTTTATCATTCCTTCCAGATTCTCAATTCATAAATGATCTCTTACCAGTAGCATAACCACTATTGAGGGGCTGTTTGACAGGGCAATAGTGCCAGTGACATCAGATTGGTCAGAGGTCATGGGACAAGTGTGTGGAACCTGTATTACATGAGTGTGCTCCACGTTGCTTCACAGATTGGGGGGGGGGTCTGGCCGAGAGTTGCCACACAAAGGCGTTCAAGACTTTTGCACGCAGAAATGCGACTTAGTTTTTGTGTAGCGTCGCTTACTCTTTGTGTATTTTAACCAAAAATGGAACATTGTGACAAGTTGTAGAAAAACTCAAAGATATCAAATTTAATAACAGAGTTATTACATGCCATGAGCAAGAAGACAAAAGGGCATTTTCTAAACTTTGTCATAAATGTGCCTATACATAAGGATTAACACGTTTTATACTTGACACGTGGAGAGCCACTCTTCAGGCATGAACTTTATGCTATTTTCTGGTCTGACATAACGAAATATTCTTTAACACAAATGAATATTAATTTATAGCAGTCCAGAATAGGAACTGATTATAGAAAAACAAATTATATTTGATATAGGTTATAGTTCTCAGCACTGGCACATTTATCGCATCTGCTCCCTCTGCAGGAATTGTACTTGTTGCTTCTGCCTCTTCAGTTACTATAGTTCCCGAGTCTTCAGACATGTCCTCCTCCTGCACACATGCACACACATACAAACACCTTGGTAAAACACGGTGCTAAGCTCAATGTTCATTTCCAATTTTCTTAAAATTGTAACTGATTCTTTTCGTTGAACAATGATTTTTACAGCTGTTCAACCGCAACATACAAAATATATTTTTATTCAATGCAAATCATCAATTTATAAAAGCAAACCTGACAAATTAATCTAGCAAGTGAGATAACTTCAACATTTGAAATCTTGTAACAGTAAGTGAAGGCCCCATACACATCTGTATCTCATTTTCTTTCTTCTGTTACGTTTTGTCTTTCTGTCCCTACAGTCGATCTCCTCGTCAAGACCCCCGTCTTCTACTGAAGCAGTGACTGCAGCTGATTCCTCGGCAGTGGTAGTGGCTTCCATCACGCCAAGAGCTGAGACTGTAGCATCCACCTGGCCATCAACACTATCACCAATCTCACCTTCAAACTGGCCTTCGACCTGATCGTTGAACTGACTTTTGACGTGGTCGTGAATCTGGCCTTCAACTTGTCTGTTGACCTGCTGCTCCAAGTTCAAGATGCGCATCTCTTGAGACAAAATTAGACTTTTCAGGTGATCAATTTCCTTTCTCTGCTGATCTGTCACTTGCAACAAGCTGCTAGTGTACACCTTCTCTGCTTCCAAGAGCAATGAGGCTGCATAGTCTGTAACATTTGATAATTATTTTAAATTGTAAAATTCTTCTTGTGAGTGTATACGAGGGTTACTTCAAAAGTCATGGCAACTAATTTTTTGGGGGCAAACACGTTATATTGAAGAAAGTTCAAAATATACATATGAAAGGGCATGATATACTCCTCCGATTGGCATAGTCAGATCAGGTAGGTGTGAATGTGTGTAGGAATAGTAGGCAAGAAAATGATACATTACAGAATGACCTTTTTTTCATTTTCTAATGCTCGAAAAATTCAATTGTGAAAAAAAATATTCAAAAAATTAATTGTAACAACAGTTTGTAATTTTTAAATTGTAATTCTTCCACCCATCACAAAATATTTACTTGTCTTCCATTTTCAGTTTATGAGTCACTTACAGCCGAGTCAACCATTTTTTCAGAAAGCCCATTCATTTTCTCTTACGTAATGCATCATGAATTGCCACTTGCAGAGTTTACAACTAGGATTTGCACGCTGGTCACCGGAAAACATTTGTCCTAACGAAGAAGGCGTTGAACAGTCTGCCTCTGATTTAGCCTTCACCAAAGAGGGGAGGGTATTTACCCTGTGGGGCCCATCAGACAGAGTTCCTCCTCAACACTCGTGACTCAGGCGCAAGACAAAATTATTCTTGGTCACAACTCGCAGAGAGCAAAGTAAACGAACATAATTCATCACCTGAATGCAGGACAGAATCATAATAAAAGGTAAAATGATTCTCTGAAATCCAGAAAATTTAAAATGTCTGAGAATGACTATAAAAAAATTGTTTTCTTTGAGAAATTACGAGGGGGTTAAATGTGGGGAATTCTTGTTACAATTCTGTTCACAGTTTTCCGATTTCCCCTGCCTTCCCGTCTCCAACAGCCGAAGTCATCCAAAATACTGAAGTAACGAACAATTACTGAAGGTGACTGGAAGAGGGGTCTGGGGGGCACATCTGGACATCTAGAGAGACATGCATTAACATCATAATTGACAGAATATCATACTGATGTGATTTATAGACAGTACTTTTAACCTTAGCACATACACAGAATTCCACCATACTTACTGTCTGCATTGAATATCTCGATCTGTTTTTCCAGCATTATGTACTTCTTGTTTGATGCTCTGATCCTCTCAGTCAGAGTTTACAAGGTTTCTTTCGTATCCCTCAAGAGAAGAGAACGTGTTACTTCAAATGGTCCCATTTGTGTAGAGGATTTACCTGAGGACACACAGAATGCAGCATTTTATAATCCAAGAATTCTCTGTAACTTCATAATGTTAATATTTATTGCTAAACATTTGTCTCAACTTTGAAATCTTAACTTCAGTCACACATAAAATCGTGTGTGCATTGGATTTACGTTTTTCAGCAAGACTGGTTTGTTCCTTTAATCTCCCTTAATTAATTCACACTTTGTTACGTCACTAAAACATCTGTCGCTATCAAAAGCAAAAAGTGTTAACAAGAATACGCTTAATATAACTACAACATGCGCCATTTTCACTGATTTCGTGTGGAAAATGCAGAGAGTGTAAATGGTGTAGTCGCATTCAGAAAAGTGATAGTCGGGACGTGCAGTGAAACATTCACACACGTACTTGCTACCTCTAAATTCTCTGAACGGCATTAAAAGTTTTGTGTATCAATCATGCTAAGATGTGCCATTTATTATGTCTAATTAAGTAGTATGGGGCTTGATGTAAAGTAGGATGGTTATAAATGCATTCAGAAGTAGTCTAAACTTAAAAATGTAGACACGTGCGATCATATCTAACATCTTTAACCCCGTGGACGCTCAAAAGATTTAAGTCGCGTAATTCACAAACCTAAGGATACTGAGGGAGACTACAAGTAGAGCACCGTTCTCACCTTTTTACCAAGTTACTCTTTCATTTGTGAGCTTTCTTAATTTCATTTAAACCATGTAAATGTCTCTAACACGTTTGTTCTGTTTGATTCACCAGTTTTGTTTCTTCTGATATTCCCCATTTTTCTTCATGTTTGTTCCAACAGCTTCACTTAATTAAATAAAAATAATTAATAAAACCACTCACCCCACGCTCTTTTCGAGAACAAGAGATGCCGTAAACAATCAGAAATCAATGTAATATTACTTGAAATTGTGTTAAAAATAAGACAAGCCTAATCTCTTACAAGACTTCACAAATGTAAATGATAACCTGTAAAAGTAATGAGCAATAATATTAAATACGAAACCCTTGGCTCACCCTTTGTGAATAGGAGGAGACCTCGATGCCCACAGGCAGCGAAAGTTGAATTAAAAATCAAATATTAATCGAACGAGTGCGGGACTCTGTCACAAAATTGTTACTAATTCATAGAACATAAATTCACGAGTTATTCTGAAAGGTGTTGCTAAATAAGGCAACACAAACGTATCTGGAAGCATTTAATCTACAACCGGTCCACAGCACAATTCGTTCCAGAATGACGAAAGCCGATTGTGGCCTGCTATTTATACCAATACAATGCCGACGTTACCTGTGACGCAAGTCAGTAGAGGGAATCCAATATGGTTCATTCAGGCGTGCATAACAAATGAGAAATGAACCTTATGGCATACCAGCCGAGATTGTTGCACGTGTTCGCATTTTATGAGAACACCTGCGTCTCATATTTACACATTCTCTGTAGTTAAAGAAATACAAATTGAATTACTCCAAGTTATAATTTTTTTACATTCCATCATAAATGTAAGAAGTCAATAATTAATATTAAATATTTTCTATGTAAAAAGAAATTAATTTAAAAGTAATGAAAGGAGGCTTGAAGTAAATTTTGCAATTTAATTTGCCCTTGTTTAAAAATAACGTCGTGTTTTTCTATACCTGTCTAATTTTAAAGACGATTTTTGAAGGGCCCGGGCGCTGTTGAACCCATCGCCCCTGGGTCAGAGAAAATGTTTCCTTCCTTCGAATCCCGATTATTCATTTTGACCAGTGAGAGAACACAGGAAAGTCAGAACACTGGGAAAAGACGGGACAGGAATTGGATATAATTTTTTTTAGATTATGGTGCCACAGATTTTCAGCTCTCTCACAGGCGGCTTTAAATGGCGGATGCTAAGTTTGTTATGAATTGAGAATTGGATAGGGTGAATGTGTAAATGGATTTGAGGAACTGCTAAGGAATTTGCCTTTGACAAGGTGGGGATTGTTTCTTTGTACAAGATTCGAACTGAATATCGCTGGGATAATTATAACCTGTCTGCTTTGTCTTGAGTACTTCGTGGTTTTACTTTCGTTAAGTTAGAGAATTTTCTGGCGTTGATTCTGATTCTGCCTCAGATAATTCGTTGATGCGATAATTGTTCCTGTGCTCAAGCGTCAGCTTCACGCTTCGGCCTGCTTGACCCTCGGTGATCAGGGGATACAAGGGTAGGTGACCCCCAGAAACGGATTGGCCACAGAGAGGGAGGGAACTTTGCCCCGTAATCCACACAAAACCAGGATCACGATTGACTATGGCCGCCAGATGCGGAGTGTTTCGAAAAAGCATTCGCGGACAGCCGACAAGGGGTGATTCTCCAACTTGTGTGTTGGGCGTGGGGCTAACAATTGCCGACTGTTAGAATAATAAATTGTTCCGACATTTTGTGCGTGTCCTCTGACTGGGAGGGAATATTTGCAACGACGTAAGCTGTCCAGCGCAATCAAAGATAAAAGACAAATGACTTGTTCTTATGCTCATTTGCTCTTTAACGTGATGCATGCAATATTATCATTTGTCTATGTCGGCTAATATATGATAGGTGAGAATTATATTTTTCATATATGCCTACAATTTGTACTTGACAATTTTATAGTTGTATCTTTTGTCTTATATTAATCCACAGTTCGTTCCAGAATATCTCTCTCTCTTTATTTATTTTTAATAAAGTGTATTGTGAATTAGTATGCCGAATTCCGCTGGACTGACACAAATCTAATTACTCCTTAAAAAGGCTTGCAGTGCACTTTGTTCCCACCAGATTTAATGAAAAAATGTTGGCTGATTTGGTTACTGGATCAGAGGGATAGGTCTGTATGCAGCTCGTAAAAGTAATGCGTAAAATTATATTTACCAGACGTAAAAGATCGCCCCCTCCCCTCGACCCCTTGGTTTCACTGCCTCATTTCATTTGTGGTCTTGAACTCTATGTTCCATACAGCATTCTTTCACGCAGGCAAAAACCTAATCTTTTTTTTTATTATTTAGTGTTCTGTCTTACGACAGGTCCTTTGTTCTGCCCAAAAAGAGTTTGCCGGTTTTCCCTATTATCAGCTTCTCGTTTTAATTCCTGAAACTTTATCTTCTTTCCATACTTAAGATCGTCGGTTAGCTGTATCAGTCTTCTTCCCAGTCCTCGCTTTCCTTCAACCTGGCCTTCGATGATATCACTCAGTAATCCATTCCTTCTCGTAATATTTCCCAGCCAGTTAGCTTTCCTTCATGTAATCGCCTGCAGAATATTTCTTTGCTCGTTGACTCCCCTCAATACTTCTTCGTTGGTCACTCGATCCGTCC